ATCTCCAATTACTTCCCTCAACTTCGTGAAAACCCAACTCATTGCTACATCATTTTCTCCGTCGACTATGCCGAACGCAAGAGGGTAAATTTGGATGTTCGCATCTTGGCATGTTGCAATAATCAACTTGCCCCCGTATCTCGCCTTAAGGGTTGTACCGTCGACTAAGATTAGGGGTCGCATTGCATTTCGAAATTCTCGAACACATTGTTCAAGGGTCATAAAGAAATATCTGAAGCGATTTTCGTCATCCTTCTCAATAAAAAATGCCGACCCAGTATTAATTCTTCCCATATTATAGCAATACCTGGCCAATGTAAATAAAAATAATCATAATTTAGATAATATATTAAATATTAAAGGAACAGAAAAATAAACAATTCAATTAAATAATTAATTACATATAAATAAACAATTGAAATTAAATAATTAAAATTTAAAATAACAAAGAAATAAACACTTAAACAATGAAATACCTGGCTAATTTAGCATAACTCTCCTCAGCCGAACCCATCAAATCCTCCAATGCACATTCTTTAGCCTTCCAAGCCTTCTGATAGTTCATGACCACCCCGTACTCTCGTCGAACATCATTGATGATGTCCGAAGGTCTGTAGATCGTTCGTGGATCCTGGAACTTGTGCATTATTTCTCGACCAATGAACCATGATCGGGTCTGCCTATGATCATTTCGACGAATACCCACTTCGTAAGTATGTTCCCGTGCATACTTACGGACTACAAAGAACTCATTCGTGTCCATCTTAGTCGCTCGCAAACGCCAATGGCAACTGTCGTCAACGCAGATAATTGTGTATAACGACTTGTTTGATTTCTTTACTTTAAACTCGAAATTATGTTTTAAAGCAATCCGGTGCACAGTTTCTTGCAATTCTTTCTTTGATTCGAATAGTTGCTCAACATATACATCTTCATCATCGGGAACTATACGCGAACAATTAGAGGACAGTGTACTCGGTCCGGCCTGTGAGCTCCCACCCGACTCATATCTCCTACGAGATAAAGCAATCAAATCCTCGTTTGTAAATGCATTTTCATTCTCGTTGTCTTCAACTATCGATGGAATTCTGTGCGTAACAGTGTGACCATGGTGAGTAGCAGTGGTCTCGGGAATAACCACATCATCTTCACGAACAATCTGAATTGTATCCCAAACATCATTTACATTACGATTCTCTTCATTTGAAACTTCATGTTCACTCTCGTGGACATTCTTCCCTAATAAAGTTACGCAAATAGGAGTCGACTTCCGGCCTTGGTTTAATTTAATTAGATTTTTCATTTCCACTTCAGAAGTAACTTTCATAGATGGAATTGAAATGGTTGAATGCTTATAAAACAAAAATCTCAATTTCATATCGTACTGAGAGGGATCGACGTTAAGCATGTTTTGTATATCACTGTACATTTCTGCGAACGATGTACTCCTTGTTATAAAAATTGCTTTAACCCCATCTCCTTCACTCGTCCATTTTCATTCCCACTGAGCATTTTCATTCATTTGAAATTCACCAAAGTAACAAATTGGGACACATGCTGATGCCATATCTGCCACAAATTAAAAATAAGGAATTAATGTTTGGGAGTGATTTTGAGAATTGATTTTTTGACCGTTAGGGGAAAAGTGTGGTCCACCTGTGAGAGAAGAAGTCAAATATGACGGCGTAATAGTAAAATAACGGTAAAAAAATCAATTTTTTGGTTGAAAAAATCGGGCCCAAACAGCCCCTATATAATTTTTTAAATTGTTCATTTCATATTTAATTTAATTTAATACTTTAAATAATTCATTGATTATTTTAATTGTTTCAAAAATATTTATTTCAATTAGTATTTAAATATTCATTAATATTTATTTCAATAAACATATACTAATAAACAAATAAATTCTAAAATCTGAAAGGGGAGGGAAGGGAAAAAAAAAATCGGCTGGGCCGGATGTTTCCAGCCGGCTGGAAACATTTGGCCCAACTTTTTTCGTCCGTTTCATTTGAAATTTACGCTCGAATTTTTTATTTTTTCCCTTTTTCAACGAAATAATGTTTAAATATTTATTTTACAGATACCTATAAATTTTTCCTGTAAAATATATGCATACAGAGATGAATTTTTTTTGTTGTTTTTGCTATAAAAAATTATAAATCTGTGTTTAAATACTGTAAAATTCATCTGCCTTTCTCAAAAAAATTATTTAAAGATTCAAACAGTAAATTTAACTAAAACAAAATTAAAAATACGTATTTACACTTACCAATTTTCAGTGCCGACTGTGAGTATTGTTTCTTTGTTGAGCCTTTGATAATTTTTGGAGATTTCAATATTTTAGCAGATGGAAGGAAAAAATTCTTTTTTACTGTATTGGAGAAACTGATAAGCAAAACTGATTTTGAAATTTACGTATGGAAGTAACTGAATTTATTTAAACTATTAAGGGTATTATTATCTTTTAAAGAATTGATATACTTTTATAATTATCAAACTCATGAATAAGGGTACAATTGTCTTTTTAGTGATAAGAGGTCAATGTGGTAAATTAAAAAAAAATGGTCAAACTGAAAAATTGGTTGTTTAACTAAGCCATTTTAAAAAGTACCCCTATTTCTCTCCACCAAGGATGGAAGTTCTGCTAGCGGTCTCTGCATTTCCTGGTTTGAAGAAGACTTTGAAATGGAAGAATTTCAGTTCAATTTCCCACAATCGTGGTTCCCGCTCCATGTTTTGCCTCGCAAGGTGAACTTTTATTCATTGCCATGGTCAATAAATTAATACAAAAAAGTATAAAACCCTGTACCCAAGAAGGGTAGAAAAATGATAAATTATTTTTCAAAATGTGGTGTCAGAATTGAAACTAATGATTAATAAATTGGGCTCTTTTGACATAGGAATTGTGTGTTAGAAAAAAATACAGCAATGGTGAAAATTGAAGAAAAAGATGATGAATATTTATTCAGTGACGACTTGAACATGAAAACAAATCGTGGTCCTCAAATGATATTCAACTCCTCTCACAATGCTTTTAAGGATTAAAATGACAAATTGTTTGTAGGATTAATCAAGCTTTAATGAAGGACACCAAAAGGAAAGTGATTTTTCAAGGTGAACAAGTGAAAAAGAGAGAATTTGATTACAGAAAGAAAGTAATTTTCTTCGATAAGTGGATGATCAATAGAATGAATTTTTCATGTGTTTAGGGATAAACACCATCATATATATATATATATACCTTTCAATCTTCCCTACACGGTGTGGTTCCAACTTAAAAGGAAAAGGGGCAACATTTCACCAAGAAAACCTATAGCCATGCGGTCGCATAGCTATAGTGTTGGCCGCCCTTTGATTCTCTGAAAATCCATATACGACCGCATAAGCCATTTTTATGACTTGATTTTCTCAATTCTTCCAATTTGATTTTTGAACAATAAGATTACAACATTGTGTGTGACAGAGTTTTTTACATAGAAGATGCTGAAAATTTTAGTATGGAGATGAAACTAGGACCAGTTTCGCCTTACAATTCTACCTTGTCCAATTTGCTGGTATGCTATGAGGTAATGGTTTTTTCTCAAAAGCAAATGTTGTTTGGGGTGAAATATTGAACAGCTTGTTTGTGCTAGATGTTCGTGTAGCATCTATACTAATCACTATATATGGGAGTGGGGGTAATTTTGATATGGTTAATGGAATAATAAGACGAATGCAATTAAAAAATCCGGATATTTTACCCAATATCTATGCACGGGCTATCTCTTGATTTGGAAAGAGAGCACATCTGGAGTGTATGGACTTCATGATTAAGGAGATGGTGTCTATGGGATTTTCTGTAGATTCTGAAAGTTATGACACCGCTTGAAAGTTCTATTTAGCCAATTTATTTTAATCAAATGTGCGAAATTGTATAATTAAAAGCAACAAGGCACTTTCTAATTGTTTCTAAATGGTTAATCATACAAGTCAAATTATCCTACGTTGAACTATCATAGTTTGTAATATTAAAGCAATAAATAACACAAGAGTTGGTGACGGAGAAATTCAACTGGGTAAAAACTCCGGGACCAAGCCAATAATCTCCATGATAGATAATGATGAATTTACAGTGAGATCTAGTCTAGAAAATTTCACTAGACTTACGATCTACTTCCTCCAATTTCCAAGCCCCGTTAGAACGTGCTTCACTCACACCTATTCCCAATCTTTTGGAGTTATCTATCTTCTGTGGATCACCAAGAATACCATGTTCTTGTACTCTTCCCATGCTTCTGGTCTAACCTTTCTCAATCTTCAGCAATCTCTGAAAGTTATTGAGAAAGTACCTTCCTGTATGTGTATAGGAAGTGGGTATTTTAGATTATATGAAGTTGATGTTTTCCCAACTAGGCGGTTGTATGAATTTAAGAATCAATGGATATAAAGGCTTTAACGTGTTGTTGAATATATGAATGATGTTATGGATAGAGCATACAATAAACAACCACCCAAATTTCGTGTTAGGCAATGGTATATATAGTAGAAGGAATTTAGGTATCATGGGCCGAATAAAACTATTGAAAAACGTGAACTAGCGTTTTACACGTAACACTATCGCTCGAGCAAGTACTCGACGACAGGCGAGCGACGGTCTATGGCTTAAGCGAGAGCTCAGCGACAGGCAGGTGACAGAGTTTTTGTTTTTGTCACTTGAGTATCAAATGGACGATAAGCTAGCGAAAATCCGACAACAATTTTTCTTCCTTGTTCTAAACTCGGACCCTAACTTACTAATTCATCTATACAATATTGTAACGTACTCCTTGACTTTTACAACTTTTTATTTAATCTTTTTGTCTAAAGAATTGCCAACACAATAAAGTCCCAATAGATTCTATCACTGGGAATTCTTATCTATTGGATTACAATATTTAAGGTTTGCTGGCTAAGATGGAAGTCATTTATGGCTGCTTCAAGATTTCGAGAATTTTCATAGAAGAAGAAACAATAAGGGCATGTCATTTGCTTATATTAAAGAAAACAAGTTTTATTCTTTAGGCCAGTTTCTCAAGGAAGTAGGTCTTGAGAAGAGAAATGTTGGCAATATTGTTTGGAACTTCCTCCTATTATCTTATGCTGCAAATTTCAAAATTAAAAGCTTACAAGGGGAATTTGTGAAAATGGTGGAAGCGGGATTCACTCCTAATCTTACTACTTTTAACATTAGAGCACTTTCTTCTCAAGAATTTCTTTGTTTTGGGATAAGCCTCGAACATATGAAGCATGAAGAAGTTGTTCCGGATCTCGTGACTTATGGTTGTGTCTTTGATGCATACCTCAACAAAAGATTAGGAAGGAGTTTGGAGTTTTCCTTAAGCAAACTGAACAAACACAATTCTGTCTCAATATTGACAGATCTACTTGTTTTTGAAGTTATGGAAAAGGGAGATTTTCATATGTTTTCATAAGTGACATTGGAGCATACAAGAAAAAATAAACGCACCTAAAACATGCTAATTGCCACCTATCTTAAGAAAAAGTTTCAGAGTAATCAAATATTTTGGAATTACTGATGATGATGATTGGTTAATTGGATTGTAAAATGGATACACTCGGGTTGTTCTTTAACAAGTACGTGCACTGATACGAACTCATAACTTAGTTTCTCATATTCTTTGGTGATTGATCGGCTTCTGCTATTGTCTTTTGAGCAAATAAACGAGATTGGCCTAAACACTACATTGCTAATGTAGGCAACATCTTTAGACAAATATGGTTGTAAATCAGCTTGTTGGTTTTCAAACTGCCTTGGCAGCCAACCATAGGTAACAGGCTGCAAAGACGAATAATGAATCTGTGGAGCAATTGGTAGAACTTTCTGGATTTTAGATTGATAAATGGAAGGCTGATAGGCCTTTTAGATTAGTTTCATAGATTGTACATTATATCTGTGAATAATTTTGTTAGGGTTGCTAATATGATTTCAATTGTGCATGATTGTTGCATGGTATGTATGGAGTGTAGGACACAAAAAATATCAACCTCATAGATGGCTATATGGTTAATAAATTTGATTTTATAGGAAAGGGAAGGGCAAGATGATCTTTAGAAGAGCCATATTAGAAAATTTTTAGTGCTGTCTTTACATTTGTTACTATGACTGAGTAATCAGAATTTGCTCGATATGTCATTGAGAACTAAGACTCAGAAATTTATCTTTTTTGTTATGATGGTTGCTTGGGATGGATAAGTATTATAAATACGCTGTGATTTTTATGTAAAAGACTAGAGAGAATGTGATTTACATTTTGTTGCACTGCACAATTGCTTCAAAACTTTGGAGACTTCAATTTGGAGTGCTTGGGTTATTCTAGCCATTTATTTTTTAAGTTTAACCAGCAGGGTTGAAGGTTCATTCAATGGCGATGAAAGAATGTGGATGTAGGCACGTTATTTCTTGATGTGGATGGTATGGAATGAGAGATATTGAAGGGTGTTTGAAGGTACCAAGAATCTGCAGTGCATTGTCAGTAGCTTTTTTTATACTTTTTCCTTTTTGTAGTTGGCGGTATATGCTAGTTTGTCCATATTCCTGGATGGACCCCAAACTGAAGGGTGTTTAAAGGTACCGAGAATCTGCAGTGCATTGTCAATAGCTTTTTTTGTACTTTTTTCCTTTTTGGAGCTGGCAGTATATTACAGTTTGTCCATATTCCTAGATGGACCCCTTTGCTAGTTTTTTTCATAGCTAGGTACCTGGAATACTTCTTGTACATGGTGCATGTGCCCTTCTTTTTCTTAATAAAATTGTTGGATTAATAGAAAAAAATGACAGAGACGTTCAAATTTTTGTGATCTTCATTAAAATAATTTGATTTCAAGACGATCTGATGCCCTTGATGTTGAATCATTACCGGACATTTATGCTCCAAGCTGAGTGATATAGATGATACAGAAAAAGAGCCACCTTAGTTGGTAAGTTGGGAGTTTTATTTGATACTATAATTTTATATCTTTGTTTTTGCTTTCCATTTCACTCTTTATTCTGTATTGTTTTCTGAAGGGAGGACGAGGGCTTCGCCAACATCATGTATTAGCTATCTTGTATTTTGGGCTCTCTTTTATATGTGCATGTATGCTTATAGTGCTTAAAACATGCGAATATGTATTTATCACCATCTATTTATACATTTTATGCTAAAGATTCAATTTGTTTCCCTCTTAAATAAATCATAGATAGCAATGGATCACTACATGTCAAATCAATCTTTTCCTTGGCTGTGTTCTCTTTGAATGAGTTCTTTATATTATTTCACCCTCTTATCATAAAATCTTAGAGCAGCAGGATATGAGCACTCGTTCAACCTATATTTCATTTGACTATGGCACATTCAATGTCACCTCAATGTTGTTTACTATCATTATTCATACCGAATAAAGTATAGAAGTTTGGAGTTATCTTGTTTAAAAATTTGTTTATATTGTACACTAGAATCTGTATGCAGAGTTTATGAGATGAAACCAAATTAAAGAATGAGTGCCAAACGAGCTGTATGTAGATTTGTAGTCAAGAAAAGATAGATATCCAATAAAAAAAGTACCATAAAACCCAACCCTTTCGCACTCCTTGCTTTCCAAGTGACATCCTATGGTTTTGACATTGCATAGAGTACACTTTGGCCAGGACCTGAAGTAATATTAGGAAGCTTCTTTTACTTTTATCTTTTTTAGTTCTGAATGTCATATCAGAATTCAGCTAGCCTATATTTTTTCATCATTATCTAATACTTAAGAAATATCGATACAAGCCTACTGGAAGGGCTAAGGATGAACAATAACTTCTCCCTCTTTGTTTCTCTAAGCTCTATTCAGTTGTAACAGATAAAATTTGAATTGAAAAGTTGAATGTCCTTCCAATTTTTTTTTTTTTTTAACTTGCTATCCTTTGGCCTAGTGGGTAAATAGTTAACTACTTCGAGAGGATGATACATACAGAACAATATGTTCTTCAAGTATTATTTGACAGCAATACATGTTGATTATATGCATGAAAAAGTTGACGTCTATCAGCTATGAGTAGAATTTTGTCATTTGTATGTTGGACTACTGATTTTAATTTCTTGACTTCTTAGTTCAATACAAAAGGATTTTATTGAATTCTGATACGATGTGCATTTGAAATTTAGTTAGTTGCATTAAATATCAGCTTGGTCAACAACCTTCATGGTATCTGGTCTCTTCACCAGTTCCACATTCAAAATTTAGTGTGATTTTCAATCCACAGTTGATTTTCTATCTAACCTGTATCCCATGCTTGAATAGTTCTTTGTGCTTTCATAATAGAGTACTACATTGGTGGATTACTCACCTGCAATAAAGGCTCTACAGCTTGTTACATGTTCATAGATTAAAAAGGTTTTAGCAGTAACTAGCTAGCAAATGCTTTGTTAGGATCTGGGCAGGATTTGAATATTATGTCTGCAGTATTAGTGATGACTACTTATTTAAGGACTTCGTTTGTAGAATACGTTTTCCCTAGCTATTCACAGCGGTCGATCCACAACTATTACCTACTTTTTATCCACACATTTCTTAGGACCCACAACTTACAAGAACTACCAAACATAACACTAATTACATACCAAAACACCAATATGTTCTATTTGTTAGGTTAAAAACACCGTAGCTTATGCTTATGATTAACTTACTTGAGAATTAGATCAAGTCTAACTTGGCGAGTTCTTTGGACTGATAGTCGCCATAATATTGACATTGTTTCTTCTGCTAGTACTCTCAACCTGTTTATGATGAGGACATCCAATTTTAATTAAGTTTAGCAATTTTAATTATTTTAGTTGGAAGTTAGGTTATTTAATTTTATGGACTTGTGTATGGGCTTGGCCCTAGGTTTACATTATTTTTCCAGTATTTAAACCTATCTTACATTGTTATTTGGGATTGATGAATTTGATAAAATAAAGAATTGGTTTTGCAGCCATCTCCCCCCTCTTCCCCGTCTCTGTGTTCTCCTCTTCCCTCTCTGCCTTCTTCTTCTCCTCTCTTCTCTCTTCTCTTCTTATTATGTTTACTGAGTTATTCTACATCAAATTGGTATCAGAGCTAAACTTGGGATTCGTCACTGCATCAAAATAGTTACGACTACCCAGCAATATTCACCATGTCCACAGTTCACAGCCAATATTTTCATTGACATTCAGTAAATCCAATGCTTCATCCACTACAATAGATATTCAGTCCATCATCCAATCCCCTGCAACTCAACACCACACCACCCCACCTTCAACATCGAGAACAGCCAATATGCGACCAGTGCTATTGCAAAAATCCACAACCGCCTTTTGCCTGTAACTGCTGACTATCAACCCCCACCATAAACCCTGCAAGTAGCAATAACCAACTTCTATTGCCTCCAACAGACGACACCACCAAATTTTTACAATCTGTACGAAACCACATACTTAATCGCCGGCATCTTCTAATAACCCATACAGGTAATCCAACATCACGATTGGTCCAATACATACAATACCCATCATCCACACCCGCTACGGTTCCTTCCCCGTCGCCTTTTCTGCCTCGATTTCAACAGAGGCCCGATTCAACCAGGAAGACAACAGAAAGTTCCAAACCGACCCAAAATCAATAATCCATCCCGTTGGTACCCGTACTCCAGCACTCGTCCCCAACTGCAGTAGTCACCGAGAAGGACCGTCAGTCGCCGCGCTGTCTCCAGTGGTTTCAATTGGGAGATTTTCGGTATTAATCAAGGGATTTCGGTCTGGGCTTCGTTTTTGTGTTTTCAATTGGGCAGTAATTAAGTGGGTTGGGTATTAGTTATTAATTGGGTTTGGGCTTAATTTCAGTTGGGTTGGATTTATTTGTATTGCTTGGACTTGTTTAAGGTTTTATGTTTGATTTAGGCCCAAATTTGTGAAATGGGCTCATTTATTATTTTGTTATTCTGATTTTGTATTATTATTTAAAAAAAAAAAAGTCAAATAAA